GTATTGCTGGGAAAGACAGCCTGGGTTAGTCCTGCCTCAGGCAAAGAAAAACCCATCCATGGGATTACTTTTGCTCAGGGACTTGGGTGCACCTCGTGGGTGATGCAGAAGGATGAAGAAGTCTGATGTGTACCTCATGAGGATTTGATTTTGGGCGGGAATAACCAGTAAATTAAATTGCATGATGTTAATTGCTAAATAACCCTGTCACTGTATGTCATCAGTACAATAGTTGTTACACGCTATATCAATGGTATTACAGTAAGAATCACCCAAACTAATGAAGGATGGACTTTGATGAAACCAAGCAAAGTGCAGCGGTGATGGGACTGGACCTGTTTTCAGCAACTGGGGCCCAGTAAATTTATCAAAATCAACATCTTCAACTTGCAGATGGTGGGCGTGGGCCATGTCAGATACACCAGCCACAAGCTCCGGATGCAGCATGCGACCATCCAACACCACACATCATCTCTCCTTCCCTGAAAGACTTTTAAACAGATGGAGCCCAACATCACGGATTAAATGAAGTCAATGGACCCTGTAGAGGGATGGTCCATTCCAAGGGAATGATATCTGTGTGTAATACGTTAAAGACAGGGAAAGGGGTGGTGATTAATTGGAAAATGGGGGACCTGGTCATGATGTAGATGGTATAGAATAAGGGGTAGATAACGTCCTGGGTTCAGCTGAGATAGGGCTAATAGGGATCATATCTGTTTTGCTAGGAGTTGGAAGGAGAGTAACCTAGAGAGACATCTGAAAAACATTAGTAAGTTACACCTCTAATTTTAGTACACTTTTAACAATATAATGAACTACTAAGAAGGCCTCTTAACTTAGGCTAATTTTGAGTTGCAGGTGATGTGTATTTGCACATTAGTTAAAAACCCTGATGTGGTTTTCAGCACAAAACTAAGCCTGCATTTAGTACTGGCAGTAAGGATCAATCACTGCTCACACCTTGAGAAGCTTCTAGCTTTATTTATCAGGATTTTTCTTAGAAAGTATCTGGCTTGTTGTGGACCCTAGATTTAGCTTTTGCTAGTGAGTTTTGAGTCATGCTGGAAATGGATTGTACCCAAATCCAACTGAAGGATATTTTGTTTGAAAGAGAATCAAAGCAGTAGGCTATGGTTCCTTTACCTCTGAAGTGAGTTAAGAAACTCTCAGGTATGGCACAAATTTAGTGTGTTCTAATGGCTTTTATCGAAGAAATACGTGAAGTTTCTCAGAAACAAATTGAAGACATTATCTGCAATGATCTTACACCTCTTTCTTCCTAAACCTCTGAAAGTACAAACAATAATGAGGATTGCAAATGGGCAGGCTGTTGTCATGAGATGTAATCACTTTCTCTGTGATACAGAAAACTTGATTCTTTGACCTAATTTAGGTGTGGGGGAGGGTGAATATGCTTTCATACTCAAATACTTGTACACAAAAGTCACAGTTCAACAGGTTATAGAATTGTACCAAATTTCCAATACTAAGTGCTGTCCTAACAGCTGAGGAGTTCAAAGGAGGGTACTTCCTTCCTTTCAAGAACATGGAAAAATACCAGCGCAAACCTAATCAGCTGAGTCAGGAGAGAGTACACATGTGGCAGTATTAAGTTATATGAAAGGCTTTTCCAATACTGTCTCATAATCTCACTAGTTGATGCAATGACAATGTCTTGAGAAGGTAAATTATTGACTATAAAACATTTGTAGGACTCTTATCACCCTCATGTGGATTCATGAAGGTTGCCAGTATCTCTTAAATCCATGACTGAGTCGAGATGCCAATTGTCTCGAGTCTCGATGTGTTTCTGCTTGGTACTTGCCAAGTTTTTTTATAGAAAGTATCTCCTGTTGCCTTCTCCACTTCCAAGGGAATCCTGCCTTGTCATATGCTCTCAATGAAATATCATTTGTGTGTTGTGGTGAATTACAGTACTTCAGAGATTTACCTGAGGCTTTCTATCTTTATGATCATTCTTTTTTTTTTTTTCCTATGTGATAAAGTGATGGAGCCTACAGAGGAATAAAAGTGTATATAACTGAAATATCAACTATATAAACAGTTCCTTATTTGATTATGCAATCATACGAAGAAATTCATAGAACTTTTACAGCATTGAGCAACTTTCTCTAGTCCTACAGAACTGACCCTTTCATTTTTCTTATCCAAAGATTGGTAGAGTGATGTTACAGAACAGGTAGCTGCAAAGCTACTGACTTCCTTTTTTCTATCCTAAAAGGAAAATTGAATCCTCATTCATTCCCTGGAGGCAGTTTGTTGTTTTTACATTATGTTGAGAAGAAGGAAGGATAGCTATGAATTTTCTTCCTGGGCATCCTTCAACCCTGCATGCCCCTTGTCTGAGGAGTTTTTCATTCCTTGGTGTTCCTGTTTGTGAAAAAATTTGAAAGGGAAGAGAACATTTTACTAGAAAACCTCTAAATGTGTGGTTTGTAATGAATAATACTTAAAAAGTTTTGTGTTGCTTAGCTTGAATAGTTGTCTTCTACTAGTGGCTAGCTGTTGAAGTCAAAATTAAAGTTTTAAGAATTTCCAGGCTGGGTGGATTGTGGTGGTACTTCCTAGCAGTGATGATCTACATTTTTTACATTTTTGTTTTTCTGTTATCTTCAAGCTCAGTGAAAATCACATTTTAAGCTGGTTTTAAAAGATACTTTAAATATGAATTCTAAAACTAAAAATAAGTTAGAAATTGAATAATGGACAGAACTTGAAAATCATTTTATGCTGTATCCCTCTATACATAATTAAACAGGTAGCTGTTATTGGTGCTCTTAGCACCTTTTCCAAATGCTTACTATTTTTTTTACAAGTTTGTCTAAATTACACTGTCAATAAAACTGACTGTGAAGGTTCTTTACAAATATGATTGAACATGATCATATTGTCACTATGTTGTTATTATAATGGTTTGCATATATTTATATTTTAAATATATAAATAGGCACATATGTATATGTGTTTATTTTAGAGGCTGTCATGTGGTTAGACTAATTATAAAAGAACTGAAGCCTTAAGGATTTCAGAAATAAAATTTAAGATGTGTATGTTGCTATCTAAGAAATAAAAATAATTTTTTTCATCTTGCTCCTTCCCACCCCATATAGAGTAAGGAACTGCAAGAATGTTTGATTTTAAACTAAAATAATCCATACCTTTCTAACACATCAAGAGTGAAATGGTCCAAACAAGATGACTGTCAGAACAGATAATTTTAAATCCTAAGCACCTTGGCAGCATCCCTTTAATTTTTCCATTCTCATTTGCTATCTAACCTCACCGTGTATTGTGCAGGCACCAGTTGTGTTTTATTCTGGATACTGCTATATATTTTACTGCAGTAACCGTTCTGTGCCTTAGCTGCTCATGTATCATTTCCCCATCCCAGGCCACAATAGATTGAGGGGTAGGTTATAGGTAGTTTCTTCTCTTTATAAAACTTTGTAGTGTAGTTTTCAGGTAAAGTTGGAACAAAGTGGGAGTAATGATTTTTTCCCAGTCAGAGGAAGAATGCTGTAATCCTTTCTAAATATATCGTGTTTAATTGACTACACTTGAATTACGCTTTTTTCAGGACTTGTATTTCTTTCAACAGTTGTGGAGAAAAAGTGTCAAAATACTCCCACGAATCTGTAGGACTATTTAATACTTCATTAAAATTAAACAGCATTAAACAC